CACAGTTCTTCCTTTTGGCTTAGAACTTGCATGCCAGTGCCACCTGCAGCTAAAGCAGACATGAAAGCTCTTCAAAGCAAACTGAAAAATCATGTGGTAGCTGGCAATAACTGTAGTGGCAGTAGCATGGGAAAGCACTGGCTTCCTTTACATGGTAATGTATAGACTGTCCCTAAGCTGAAGCAATAAAATATTCATTTGGGTGCCCTAGATGAGCATATAAGACCTGTGATCTAATGTTCCTCACGATTAGAATGTACCCATTTACAGTGGTGGCCCCTACACTATCAACCATACTTTTGAACAAGGTTTGTAAGGCATCTTCTTTACAGGCCATCCACAAACTCTCTTAAGAGTGCCTTGTTTAAAGGGGATTTATTACTGATTCTGTGCTCACAAATGCCAAATTTGACAGTGCAATGGTAAGCAGTGGTTCTTGCATGTGTAAGTTTGGAGTCCTGTTTGTATTGTGTTTTAAATAAATATTGGCAGATGTAGTCATAATGACCATTCATATTTTGACACTTGAAAAACCAAGGCAAGGTTTTTGTTGCTAGCTAGGCTTTTCTGATGGCTGGGGAGAGAAAATATTCCCTGGGATGACTTCAGCTCAGAGGGAAGAAGTATGGTTCTCCCCATTACTGTTTTTCTTTCATAGATTCTCCTTAGCCCACCTGGCCACGTGTGAAATCATTTGGGTTATGTTCCCTCTTTATCTGTGCTTTATCTCACCAAATATTCTGTTTACTAGTGCCATAGTTGCCTTCATTTTTCACCACCCTTATGCTGGCTTCTTATAACAGCTTGCAATTCTGTTAAAGTGGCCTATGCTTCAAACAGTTACTGACAAAATTAACCCCTGCAGCCTCCCTGGCCTTTGTCAACTGATGTATACCTGTTATGTGTTGTGTGTGGTCTAAATAATAACCTAGATTTAATTAATGGCTTTTCAGTAGTCTGTACAATGGTTTTTAGCTTTGCATATGCAAATTTCAGAACAGTTTTTAATATATATTTGAAATATTGATAGAACTTTCACCAAAAAAAATCTGCAGGCATGAAAAGATGGTGAATATGTTAGGCCACTTTGATAAAGCTGATTCTGCCAGCATATCTCTTCACCTTGATTTGTTTCTGTTTATAGTGTTTTTTGCTCCAAGAGTTTTTTTTAAAGAATCAGCAGCAACAGATTTTACTTACAAAAGAATCTGAAATATGCGTACATGTAGGGTTGAGAGACTATATTGTATCCACATGGCAACCATCTCTTCTTTTAAAATAATTCTGGCGGAGAGAGCAGGATTGTTGTAAGTTTTATGTAACTGTCACTATGCATCAGAGAATAAAATACATGCAGTCTAGGACAATTTGTGTCTATGTCTTCAGTATTCATATGTAGGTAAAAAAGTTACAGTGACTATCTTAAGAAATATGACACATTACATATGTGCAGAAAAAGAATGTACACTCAGTTTGGTGTCTCAAAACCAAATCCTCAAAAATCCATTAAGGGATTCTTGGAAGTAAACACAGAATTGATAGCTCTTATTTGTAAAGGTGACAATGAAATGGTAGATACCTTATGTAACAGAGTTCCTTTGGGGTATTTTGAAACGTTCATGTAAAACCTCCACAAATATTCTGGTAATTGCTTGTTTTTGACTCAGGTCAGAAGCAAGGCTTCTTCCACCATCTCCTTGGCACCTGCTATCATGATTAATGTCAGGTTCCCTGGGACTAAACTACCCCAAGCCCTGACCTGGATAGCTGAGGTCAGCCTGATCCCATCAGATCTTGAAAGCTAAGCAGGGTCAGCCCTGGCTAGTATTTGGATAGGCAACCTCGAAGGAATACCAGAGGTATGACACAGGGCAGGCAATGGCAAACCACCTCTGAAACATCTCTTGCCTTAAAAACAAGTCTACCTCACCACCTAGTGGTGCACAACACTAAAAGAGCTATAACTTCTGGCTGCCAAATAATCTTAGTATCTCCTGGCTACACTAAACACACTGCCATACGATAATTATTAATCATTATTACTACCACAGATACACTAGAACATGGGACCTCAGATGCCTGCATGGCAAGAATGGCTAGTGTTGGAATCCAAGGAAGGATTCTGAAACCGTCTTGTTCTTGGATTATGGGGTAATCAGACATAGATTTTATTAAAATAAATTTAAAACAAAGTTGCAAAAGGTGGTAAAAACCCAAACAAGGGTCAGAGTCCAATTGCATTATCTGCTAGGAAAACATAGAAAATACAGTTGAATTATTAAGGACAAGGAATGGAAGGACAAAAAGAGGGAAGACAGATGGTACACAAGACTCCTGACCAGAACAATATTGGTAAGGTGTCCTCTATTTTAGTAATATACAAGCTTTTGTGTCACAAAGTAGAAGTGCTAAAGAAAAATAACGGTGGTAATTCATGAGATACAGTGGCCTGCCTTTCTCACATACCTTTGAATAGATGGTGTGGAGAAGCTACCATTTTCTGTGCACAACATAACCACACAGCAATAACCTAGTCACTGTTTTCCAACAATGAGAATGAAAGAAGGCAAGGAAGGAAGGAAAGAAAGAGGTTCCTACATCTGTGAGAAGACAAGGAAGACGAGAGGTTTCCTGTCTGAATGGATGCCTCCTAGTGCCAAAAGGGGACACAGAGGTCTTTTGTCTCTTTTTACTACTTAACTTTTTGAGTTATGAGGGCCACACATTTGCCCTAGGCTTGAGGTGAATGAAGTCTCTAATTAGAACAGATGGAAGAGCCTTCTTCAAAGAGCATCCTTTGACTGACTGAGATGCCCAGCATTCCTATCAGAATTTCACCCACAGCCCATTTCCCTTTCGTCTACTCTTCTTCCTCTGGTCATTATCCCCACCAGACCTCTTCCTCTAGTTCTAGATGCGCATGCCCTGCCCCCAGGGTTGCTATATGAGGCTTTTTCTCCTTTAGAAAACTGAACGTTCGTTCCATTTACAGAGTTGCTAGTAATCATAAACATTGAGACCAGCTCAAACTATTGCTATTCGCATGTTCCAGCAGTGGCTAGAAGGGTAAAGCTTAGAGGTGGCAAGTGACAGTGCTTCCATTCCAAGCCAAGAAAAGAAACAGTATCAAGTGTATTGGATACCATATATGAAGGAAGGGAATTTTGTATACCTGTTACTTAGAAAAAGAGAGGGATGAGTGAAGCCTTGACAATCTTTTTCCCCCGTCAGAAAATTCTAGCAGTAGTTTAGTTCCAAAAGGAAACAAATTAATAGAAGAATAATCTACAGCTGTTATGTAGGATGGTGAAGACAGCTTAAATGCCCAGCTGGAACCAGTGATTTGATGCCAAAGCACACTAACGTTCCAGTAATATTAGCTTATTGTGACGGTGACGTGGAGGCGCAGGCGCGGCGGAGCCAAAATGGACAGTAGCCGGAGCCGTGCTGACGCGAAACCGCGCACCAGATGGGCCCACCAAAAGAAAGCCACCAAAATGGAAAAAGACCTATCCCTGGCCCCCAGGACGGAAGTACCGACCCCGAAGACCGCCGGAAGAAGAAGAAGGAGCCAGAGAACAGCAAGCCCCACCACCTGGGTGCCGGTAGGCAGCCCCGCCCCTGTACCATGTGGCCATAGATAGGGAAAAGAAAGACTTAGACTTCTATGTAAACCGCCCAGAGACCCTTCGGGGTCAGGGCGGTATATAAGCTGAATGTATAAATAAATAAAATAAATACCTGAGTGTGGTATATCATTCCAGCCCATGGACACACATAGTTATTCCCACATGGATCAGATCTCATGATTCTAGAAATGATTTTTCTGGGGCCAGAAAGGGTGTGCAGGAATGGAGAGCAACATGGGAAAACTCCATGTGCCTTCCATGCACCGATGGCCAGATACACACCGCTATCATTTTATCTCAATACGAAGTAGTGCTCCCTCATTGCTTGATTGCTGGAAGTTGGGAACATGTAGAATGGATAAAAGTTACTACCCATGGCTCTTTTGGAGACATGATGCTGATGAGAATGGGCTGTTGGTCAAATGCAGCACAGCTGTTTTTCAGTTTCTTTAGGTCCCTTTAAGGTATGCCTGCTCTCGTCAAACATGAACAGTTCAGTTTCAAACACGGAAATTAAATGACCAGGACACTTCAATTAACTTCTATTGTTGAGAGTTAGAACATAGACATAATAATAATTTAGCCTATTTGAGACATGGGCCATGGCCTACTACAGACTAACCTGGGATCACCAAATTAATTTCTCTTTAGACATTTGCTCTCAGAGATGAGAAACAGAGTAAGTGATTTCATCATTATGAATCCCTGTAGTGCTGTTATCTTTCTAAAAGCCCCCTTTTATTCTCAGTCCTACACTAAGAAATGGAGTGCGACATCTGAAGCACGGCAGAAGATGTTAAGCATGAAATAATTGATGAAAAAAGAGCTTTTGCCATGGATATTAAAGACTGAAGCACTTGCTGGCTTCCATGGAATCCGATTAGCATATTCATTCTTAGGCTAGTTTTTTAAATAATTGCAATAGGCATATATTAAAATAATAGCTAATTATGAAGGGATACGGTGAAATTGTCCTGAAATGCACTATTTGAGAGACAATTCCCTTTGAGGGCACTACGAAGCAATATTTTGACAGCTTAATTGATGTACAGATCCACACAGGTGTCAACTCCATGGGCAATGCTGTCTTTCATGAGACACCAATTGCTCTTAAAAGGTGGTAGTACATTTCAGTATTTCTATATAATCTTAATTACACTTTTTAAATGATCATATAATCAGAGATGGCACACTAAGGCAGTGACCCCCCCACCTCCACTTGAGTGTTACTTCATATATATCAGATCAGCAGACAGCATAAAAATTGAACTGGATCCAAGCTAAGGGATTTGGTTTGGCAGCACAGGAAAACAGTAGAAATCAAGGAAATAAGAAGACATTTTACGCTGAAACAAGTAGCAGCCACTAGTCTCAATGAGCTAAAGGCCTGTCAAAAGAGTTCTTTATCTCATCTCCTTCCAAGGTATACTCCCTTACTTCAACACTCTGACTTCTGCCTTCCTGCCCATTATTGAGGCCATTGTCACTGGTGGAACAAAGGATGGGACTAGGTATGCTTTTCCAAATCGAATTCTGTAGCCACAAGTCAAGAATCGACTCCAGGTTCTATGAAGAAAGTAAGAAACAGCCATTATCCTGGGGGAAAAGTCCACCCTGCTTTGCAATTTTGACCCTGTATAGCACTATCACTTTATATTAATACTAGGAATAAGGCCCATTGTGGAAATAAATACAATGAGCGCTAAAAAGAGGCTCTGGGAGAGTGCCAAGGCCGTGGGCACTCAGAATCAATTTGCCATGACAACCTCAGCAGGGTATAAGGACACAGAGTCCACCATTTTCTCCAGGGGAATGGATCAATACCATCTGGAGAGCAGTTGTAATTCTGAGTGATCTCCACCCCCCACCTGGAGATTGGCAACAGTGGTTCCCCATTACAGAATGGCTGGTTTGGAGGGCAGAGTCTAAGGCATTGTACCTGTCTGAGGCCCCACTCCTCCTCAAACCTCACCCTCTCCAGACTCCATCTCTCAAATCTCCAGGATTTTCCCATCTGGAGTTGGCAACCCTATCTACTTCCCAGCCAAGCATCAACCTACATTTCCCCCTCATTGATCATCTTTCCATCTCCCTCCCACCAGCAGCCCCCGCCGTGCTCTGAAGCCCTGACTGCCACATATCTGTGGCAGTAATGGGGTGACTGCTGGCACGTTTTCCTATCATTTTTTGCCTTGTGGTATTCTGCTTGTGGTGTGATCTGTCTTTTTTGTGGTGTGGCATGATTGCGTTATTGGGTTTGTTTCTTTTGAAGGGGAAGTGATGTGTTGTGACTGAGGACATATTTTACCTCAGAATACAGCAGGTCCCATATGCAACTGACAGTTCCAACTGTCTCGTGGGGGGGGGGAGTTTGAGGTGCGGAATGGAGTGAAGTCCAGTCAGCTTCCATATGCAAATGACCTTGAAACTCTGGCCCAATCAGAGAAGAGTGGCCTAGGCTGCAGTGGGTGGGAGAGAACTCAGGCAACACAGCTAGTGGATAGAGACACCTTGTGATTGACACATCACGGAGCCAACTGATTTTGGAGTGCATACAACGTTGTGGGACCACTACTCAATTATATATAAGAAGACATAAAGCATCCCCAAAGTAACAATCACTTAACAGTCAGTATTCTTTCTGTAAACAGACACGCACTTGGAACATATCAACAACATTCTATTGATTTTTGCTACCAGAGAAAATTCTACCACGACTTGCAGGGTTTTTTTGGAAGAATGCCTAGAGAAGTGGCTCTGCCACTTTGTCCTTTTAGGACACTGTCACCTGTACGTTAGTAAACAACCTCAAGTACAGCCAATCACCACTTATCATTTTCTTTCGGTAAACAGAAAAAGGATACAATACAGAAAGGTATCTCATAACACATTAATTTTATTATTTTCCCTGAGCTTCCAAAGGGTCTTTAAAGAGCCTTTCTCCTCATATCCTTTCCAATAAGCCCCATTACCTTTTTTAGGTGTATTGAATCTGCACAGGTGTTACATACCATCTGCTCAAAATCCTATAATTAAACACTTAAACAAACAGGCACAATTCTCCTGTCATATATCAGCTCAGTTCTCCAGAGTAAATTCCATTTCCAAATCCTTCTCCCAGTTTAACCCACAGGCCATTTCCCTTTGTAGCACAACCAGAAGCAAATAACTAAATCAAATCTTTAAATGAGTGGTACCCCCACAACAAGCAGTAAGTACTCAGATCTGGTAAAATCTCTTTTTTACTTCAGTAAAACTCTGGTGTGGTACAAATGGTGTAGATATATGATTCATTTGTGAATACTGGAAGAATAGGAGTTTCATTCTAATTTTTCATAAGTTGTACATTAGACTTGATCAATATCTCAAAATTTGCATATGCGGCATCTTGTCAACTTCTTGTAAGCATTCCTCTCTAGACCTAGAATAAATTAACAGATGTTACAAAAATAGTGTCACCGGAGTAACTGCACTCACCAACATAGATTGGGTTTCCCCTGACTTTTAGCCATGATAAACTAAATATGAATTCCATGTATACCGCTCCATACCAGGTTCTGGAGAAAAACAAGAGAGAATGACACTTTCATGCCTCAAACCTTTGGCCTAGATAAGGGGTGGAAGTCCCTGGCACTCATACCAACAGTGGCACATTAGACTATTATGGTTGGTACCCAGGGTGAGAGCTCTCCCCAAGTAACTAAGGTACAAGCAACACTGCTGGGGCCAGCAGTGTGGGAGAAGGCAACAAGAACACCTTTTGCCTGTCATTGCCTCCCAGACCTGCAAAGCCACTAGTTGAGTTCAAGGCAAATCCCAGAAATGACAGCAGTACTGCTGCAGCTTAGGTTGCATCAGAATACAGAGTGATCTTGACAGGCTGGAAAACTGGGCTAAAACAAATAAAATGAATTTCAATGGGGATAAATGTAAACTTCTGCATTTAGGTAGGAAAAATCAAATGCATAATTATTGGATGGGGGAGACTTGTCTTGGCAGTAGCATGTGTGAAAAGGATCTAGGGGTCTTAGTAGACCATACATTGAACATGAGTCAGCAGTGTGATGTGGTAGTTAAAAAGGCAAATGCCATTTTGGGCTGTATCGACAGAAGTATAGTGTCCAGACACAAAGTGATCATGGTCTTTACACTGCTCTGGTTAGACCTCACCTGGAGTATTGTGTTCAGTCTTGGGCACCACAATCTAAGAGTAATATAGACAAGCTGGAATGTGTCCAGAAGAGGGCAATGAAGATGATGAGGGTTCTGGAGACCAAGTCCTATGAGGAAAAGTTGAAGGAGCTCAGTATGTTTAGCCTGGAGAGGAGACGATTGAGAGGTGATATGATAACCATCTTCAAGTACTTGAAGGACTGTCATATATAGGATGGTGCGGTCAGAGTTCTTTTCTGTTGCCCCAGAAAGTCGGACAAGAACCAACGGGTTGAAATTAAATCAGAAGAGTTTTCAGCTAAACATTAGGAAGAACTTCCTGACAGAGCAGTTCCCCAGTGGAACAGGCTTCCTCGGAAGGTGGTGGGCTCTCCTTCTTTGGAGGTTTTCAAACAGAGGCTAGATGGCCATCTGACAGCAATGCTGATTGTGTGAACTTAGGCAGATCATGAGAGGGAGGGCAGGAAGGGTTGCCTCAGTGCTTAGTTCTTCTGGCCCTTTTTTACATGCCCAGGGAAATGCTGATTGCCATGTTGGGGTCAGGAAGCAAGCAAACTGGCCTGGAGATTTTTGTCATCTTCTGGGCATGGAACAACAGTCACTGGGGGTGGGGGGGAGGTATCTGTGAATTTCCTGCATTGTGCAGGGGGTTGGACTAGATGACCCTGGAGGTCCCTTCCAACTCTTTGATTCTATGATCAGGCACAATGGGTCAAGTACAACCCTCATTTCCCACAACCTGGATTTTGTCTGCCATCACACTAACATCTTCACAGGCAGACACTGCATTTTGGGGGGCACTTGTGTCAAAAATGTCACCTATCCCTGGCCTAGATGGACCGTGATCTTATTCAGAAAGGCTATTCTTACAGCAAAGCAAATAACTTTTTGGCTCAGCTGAGGTCACTGTTACCATCTCTGATTTTAAACCAAATGTTGCTGCAGGAAGCTGAAAATAAAATTAACAGTGTAATTAGAAGCATTTAGTCTTAGCTTGCCCGTTTAGAATTCCCTTCGTCATGTGATAATTCTATTAAACATTAAGACAGAATTGGAGATGTGCATTCAAAATGCTATTATTGGTATGAAGTTTGAATGAGTGCTCAGTCTCCCACTCCCATTTTCAAAAAAGGCCAAAATTGTTATCAAATTTTCCATTTTTCTACCAAAATAACACAAGTAAAATTTTAAAAACAAAAATAAAAGCTACATAATTCAAAAACTAGTAACTTGAAGGACCATCTCTTGCTATGGCCCTCCAGTGAAAATCTGCCCCCAAAGCCCTCCTCTCTGTGTCCCCATCTTCAGAGGTGAAGTAAGTGGCTACTAAAGATGAGGCATTTTTACTGGTGGAACCTTGCCTTAGAATGTCCTCTCCATTTTGAGGTTCTCCTAGCAGAGGGGTGGCCAAACTGTGGCTTGGGAACCGCATATGGCTCTTTCACACATATTGTGCAGCTCCCGGCAGGGCAGCTGGGGAAGTAAAGGGGAGGTTTGCCTCCCCAATCGGTCTTCCCTTTCCCAGTCAGTGTTCCCCTCTCTGGGTTTCTTTCTTTCTTTCTTTCTTTCTTTCTTTCTTTCTTTCTTTCTTTCTTTCTTTCTTTCTTTCTTTCTTTCTTTCTTTCTTTCTTTCTTTCTTTCCTTCCTTCCTTCCTTCCTTCCTTCCTTCCTTCTTTCTTTCCTTCTCTTTCCTTTCCTTTCCTTTCCTTTCTCCCTCCCCCATCTATTTGCTTTGCTCCTTTCTCTCTCTCTCATTTCCTTCCTCCCCCTCCCATCTTTCTGGGTTTTCTCTCTCTCTCTCTTCCTTCCTTCCCCCTCCCTCACCCATCTATTTGTTTTCTTTATTTCTTTCTTTCTCTCTCTCTTTCCATCTGTTTCATTCTTCCTTTCCATCTCTTTCTTTCTCTCCCTCAGACAAATATCATTAGCAAACAAATAAATATAACTGGACAAATAAATATCATTATCAGTATCTGTTTTACCCCTTTTGTTTTTATTTCTGGCAGTCTCATTTAATGTTAATAATCAGCAAATCTGCATATTTTTCAATAAAAATGCATGTGCAATATTTGTTTATGTCTTGCAGCTCTCAGACATCTGACGTTTATTCTATGTGGCTGTTACATTAAGCCAGATTAGCCACCCCTGTCCTCATGCCTACTTGAGTTTCCTTTAAGCTCCAGGCCAAAATATTTCTTTTTCACCTGGGCTTTTAACTAACGGGTTTTATAATGTTTGGGTGTTTTAGGGTCTGCTTCCAGTCTGAGGACTGTTTTATCAATATCACTTTAGAATACTAGGTTTGTTTTATGCTACTTTTATATCCTTCCATTTATTTTAATGATCTTTTTATTGGCTTGTCATTTCATATTGACTTCTTTGTGTTTTTTTTG